ATTTCCCCGCCAAATTTAGCGGGGAAACGTAACCCACTAAATTGGGCAGGAAATTTAGCTAATAATTTTCTGCTAAATTCGAGGGAAGAGAGAGGTAAACCCTCCCCTCCTCGTCAAGTGCTGCGTTCTACTTTCGCATGACAGAGAATTGTAAACGTCTCATTTTTTTTAACGCTGCTCTTCCGTGGAGCTTGTGAACCGATAGATCCGAGAACATTGGTGTGTACCGCCTGAGCGGAGGCATCTGTTTTCCCAAGCACCGGTTTTGAAACCCTCCTTTTCTTGAATCCTTCCAAGAAGACACCCAGTTAAAGGGCAACTCCGGTCCATACTTTCGAGTTTGAGATTATGACTGTTTTTAATGCAGTCAGCGTCCCTGAATTGCAAGGTGTAATTCTTTTCTCGTTATTGTGTGTAGTTTAAAAGATATCGACGCCCCATAGTTTTGTTTCGGGTGCGGCCTACAAAACCGAAACTATCCGCTCGAGGCCCGGACAACACTGGAAATCAGCCGCTATGTGAATGTGACGTTGGGATCGTTCTCGTTCAACGAGTATGCAGGCCGGGCGGCACCTACCTCAGTTGCGCTAGCCGTCTAAAGATAGGAAGTAAGCTGATTTTGTTTTAATTCTGTGTACGTGGTAGTTATCTAGCATATGTAGCAAGAGTTAGTACGTATACCCAGAAGCTAGCGCCTGGAAAACCCGTGAGCTCGTACGGTGCCGTACTCGGCGGCCGCCGCCGTGTGTGCGCTATGCCGTATCCGTCGCTTGTATACCCAAAAGCTAGCGACTGCAAAACAAGTGAACTCGTTCGGTGCCGTACTCGGCGGCTATCGCCGTGTGTGCGGTCTTCCGTACTCGTCGCTAGGCCTAAATTGTCATCGGGGCTCCGTGGATGGAGCGGCGTTAATCTATGCCGCGCTGCTAGTGACGTGCAGTACTGGGGGCCCTCTCGCTTTCGCGCGGCGGGTCGGTCCGAGACACAAAGCTTTGAGGCTCTCCGGCGTGGGCCGCGGCGCCCGAACATGTGTGCTGGGCTGTATGCGTCTGTTTTTTCATTCTTTTTTTTTTTTCCTCAGGCGCATAAAAGCCGAAGTCCAAAGTCCACTTGCCGAGCAGCGTTCACCCACACCTTCTCCAATTTCCAGTCCGTTGGAAACGTGTGAAAAAGCACCTTTGTGCTGCGCAGCGGGTTGTTTGAGCATCCCACAGCGCTACAAGTTCACTCGGCATCTTTCGAGGAACAGCTGGGCAGTCTTGGGCGCACCGATGCTTGCTAAAACGAGTCTTGGAGTCCTCGCAAGCAAATAAACAAAAGGGTATACCGAAGCTACATGGGCTACAGATAAAAGCAACGGCTAAACACGCCAATCACAAGCTGAAGTAGCGGTGGTAGCGGCTCAGAGAAGTGCACTCCGCGCAACGCCTGGACCGGAGAAAAAAAAAAAGAATGATACTGACGTCACGCCCCAATGTTGCTTTAGCGATCGGCAACCCGCTGGCCGTCCGCTAAGGAGCAGCGGCTCGCGGCGGGTCGCATTTTTATTATCGGCATTAGTTGAGAATGCGGCGTCCCACGGACGTAATATTTTGGCTGGGGTCGTATTTTGTGTCACTACAGCGATACCAGTAATTTATTTCATTTTGAGTTTTGGCTGGAGTTGCCCTTTAAGAGAAAATGGCGACAAACAACCTTTTAGCAGATTTGTTTTTAGAAATACGCAATTCACCGAACTTGGCTGCATGCTCTACTATTTGCTTGTTCTGCCTTCGCCAATGACAAAGCCGAGCCGGTCAGTCAGCAAGTCGGTCGCTTGGGCGGCCAGCATGTTCAGAGTATTATAGACAAGTTTTCGTGCTTGTCACAACACTGCTGTTTTCACAATAATAATTTTACGTTCTGCCTGGTTTACGGCCTAACAAAGAAGAGCGGCTGCTCAAAGCATAGGTCAACAAGCTTCACTGAATCGTGCGGTAGCCTTTAGCCAAGTCTTTCAGACGACGATCGAATGGAATCACTAAACGGCGCTCCCCCACAACTGCTTGTTTTAGGTGCAGTACATTCTATTAGCTTAAGTAAAAGCACGCAGCTAGAGCACCTCAGTGATGCCTAGCAGGTAGCGAAACAAATCTCTCTAACAAAGCGTGCGTGGTTACCGAGACATCACATTATTCAGAGTGCAGATGCAGAGTATAACCACTGTACAGCTTTGTCTCCGTATTTGCACTATCTTCTAAGGTATTGTCCAGGTACAGGCGGCACTGCCGAGCAGACAGGCAAATAAATAAATATTTAACAAAAAGTACTATTCAGTTTCGTACCACCAACATTACCGTCTTGCTTCGGCTCTTCACTAGATAGTTGACAGCTGCCCGATGCTTTCCAGATATGCGGAAGCAAAACATTTCATCAACATAAGTGCTATCCGCCACCGCTTAGCCAAGTGTTCTTTGCGAACATAACTGGGCTGCCTAACCATATTATAGAACGCCGCAAGTTAAATAATTTCAAAACAAAAGCGGTTCTTGCAATTGCGCTACATAAAAAGAACAGTGCAGGTAGAGCTGCATGGTATCTACATTTGTGGATATTTGCTAGCAAAATAGCAGGTATTCAAAACAGGAAAATTAACCAGAAAGTGTGATGGGTTTGGGAGGGAAAGAAACGTGGACAAAAGGCAAGCAGTTCAGAGGAGACAACCCACCGAGCTAACGCTCTACAAAGAACAATCTTAACCCGAAATACTACTTTCTGTACAAACACAAGATACCCACGATATTACACGATAAATAGCCACCAAAATTAACGTACCAATAGACTACTTCCATAAAGCCCTGCATGCAACACGGCGCGCGTTGCACTCTGGGAACTAGTTGGCCAGGGAGAAGGGTGGCATGGTTTCGGTTTCGATCGACACGTCGACAAGAGTTTGTTTTCTGGTCCCGAGAGCGTCATTTGTGGTCTCTAAACTAACCTAAATGGTCATACCTCGAAGCTTTAGCACAATCCCGAGACGTATAGCTTGTCTTAACACATGCTTGTCGTATTTTTGTACTTGAGCCTTCCTGTTAGCGTTCCAATCGAGGTATGTGGACGAGCCAGTGCTGGGAATCTCGACGCTGCGAAGCTCGGGTGCTCGGAGATCTTGCTTGTGTACGAATCAACAAGCTGTAGCAACCAATAGGTATGCATATATCGAGCTCGCGCCTTTACATTAGTGTTGTTGACCGGGAAGTTTGCTTCGTGCATCCATAGGCGAAATATTACTTTTTGCAATTACTGTTTTTCTTAATGTGCCTGAGTACGCGAGGTAAAACTCGGAGGTGCCATTGAAAAGCTCAATTTTAACACACTTATCTCTTATCTGTACTGACCCGCAGCACTGCACGAAGTAAGTCCCCCCCACCCACTTGCATTCCACTAATATTCAACATCGCGTATGCGCATAAAGTTATCCTGCAATCATATAGGCAAATTCGCGCATACAGGCCGTTTTAAGAATGCAAAAGTCGAGCACTTGTGTGAAGAATGTCACACCATTCGCCGGTAGTGCGTCAGACGGGCATGAACCCCTATGCGCACCGCATTGGGGTTCATGCATGCCCGTCCGGCGCACGGTGCGACATTCTTCAGACAGGTGCTCGAACGAATTCAAAGCGCGTTTGACGGCTGCTAATGGCCATAATATTTGTTATGTGTTTGCTTTCTTCCTGCCTGAGTATGCCGAGATAATTTCAGACACACCCTTCCCGGCACAGATCTCGGGCGTCAGTAAAAGCTCGTCCAAAAAGGCTTAGCGAGGAGTAGAGGACGCTTGTTAGGGCCTCCGTCGTAGCTAGCCGATCTCAGCGTTTGTGAAAAGTTAATCTTCTATCAGCATAAAATTCTAGTGGGGGATATATGATAACACGAGGAAGACATCATAGTAACTTTTGTGCAGTAGTGAGGTCGAATTTATTGCATTTTCTTAAAAGTTTATGCGTCAACGCTGGGTTCAGCTTTGATACTCCTGTGAGGATGCGGCTTGCTTTTCGCCCAATGAAGTAACGAGAAGCGGACATTTGGCAAACAAAATGCGTGTAAGGATCCAGACGAACAAATTTCAGTTGTAGTTCACTGGTACTAGACGGGATTACTGACATTGAGCTCAAAGATGCACTCGTGCACTAAGCCACGACTTACTACGTTCGCATACGCACGCACAATATCCGGTGTTTCGGGAACCAAGGAAAGTGCCCCGGTCTTCGTTTTGTATCGCTCGAGAATGAGCGTATTGTACGTTCGTGAAAAGTCAGATAATCGAAAACGCAAGCAGCGCGTTCGGTCGCGGCGTGATAGCATGAGATGAAGCTGTTCAGTCGAAACCGAAACTGAGTGGCCAACTAGTTCCCAGAGTGCACTGCGTGGTATTTCGCCGCGATGGGGCGCGTCGGTTTTGGAAGAAGTCCATTGGGCAGTGCTGTTCGTAAGTCGCGTGAATCGCCGAAGTCACGGAACGTACAGGAAGCAAAACGGCCATCTTGGAAAAATCAATAGTGATGGTGATAGCGATGGGTCTTTTGTAAAAACTCCGAGGACAAATGTAATGAGTGTTTTTTTTTTTTTTCGTTTTAATTAATGTAAGGAACACATATTCACCTTAGCAGAAACTTAAAATTATGGCAACAAAATGGCCTTAAGTTTGAACATTTAGTTGTGCCGAAATACACTTGGTAATGTTTCAAATCTGCAGAACGCAGATTTGAAAGCCCTTGCCGATTGCCTTTCCGTGAGCGTGTGAATGGTCAAAAGCCGATGCAATGATAGGCTGAAATACTCCGGAGATAGCATGCTTAAAGTGGTCAGAAATATTAAACGGGGTATATCTATTGTCTTTCCATCGAACTTTTCGGAGCTTAATCTTCTCAATAAATACCTTCTCGCATGTTTCACAGTAATCCGTGGCATGGATTCACCACACTATTTTTGTCAAGTGTGGCAAGAGGTATGCACCACCGTCAGAAAAAAATATGAGAATTTATTTAATTACGTCAGGAAGCCATGAAAGGGGAAGATGGCAAGACCCGATCCACCAAAAAGGAGTGGGCCTAAGAGTGCAGTCTAGGTCCATGATTCACGACGGTAACCTATGATGAATGCAGAGAACAAAGGAGTCCATCAGGTCAACAGGAACCAATATCTGACCCGAACATGCAAGGAAAACGCTCAGTTGGAAAACTCACTCTTAGAACCAGGACCGCTGGCGTCCACCGAGACCAAACTCAATACAATAACAGCGCCACCCTTCTGCGACGAATTAAAACATGCAAGTTGTTTTATTTAGCTACTGCAAAATGGCCCTGTGAGATGGCGCCACGTAGAGTTCCTGTATAGGCTCTTTACAGGAGCCATAGTTGCATGACTGTTTTCCACGTACCGCCGCACCGCTACTCACCGAGATGCGACCATGTGAGGTCGCATCTCGGTGAGTGCGACCTCACCAAGATGAGGTCGACCGTGCACGAAAGTACACATTGCACGCACCCTGGCATACGTTCCCGTTTTTGAGCGCACCGTGCTGCCATTCGCCGGCTCCTTATACCGTGCAGGAAAGACGGCGCTACAGGGATGAACACGCAATTCTGGCTCCCGTAGGGAGCCTATACAGAAGAGTCAGCGCCACTGACTCTTCAGCGACTCGACGGAACCACTAAGTGTAGCCGTGTGGTTTCCTTAGTGGCTGATGTGGGAGAAATGGCGGCGTTGCAATAGACTTCTTCCAAACCGACGCGCCCCATCGCGCGAAATACCACGCAGTGCCCTCTGGGAACTTGTTGGCCACTTAGTTTCGGTTTCTACTGAGCAGCTTCATCTCATGCTATCACGCCGCGACCGAATACGATGCTCATGTTTTCGATTATCTGACTTTTTTTACGAATGTACAATACACTCATTCTCGAGCGATACAAAACGAAGACCGGGGCACTTTCCTTGGTTCCAGAAACACCGGATATTATGCGTGCGTATGCAAACGTCGTAAGACGTGGCTTAGTCACCTCACCCCACGAGTGCATCTTTGAGCTCAGTGTCAGTAATCCCGTCCAGTACCAGTGAACTACAACTGAAATTTGGTCACCTTGAGCCCTACACGTATTCTGTTTGCCAAATGTACGCTTCTTGTTACTTCTTTGGGCGAAAAGCAAGCCACATCCTCACAGGAGTATCAAAGTTAAGCCCAGCATTGGCGCATTAACTTTTAAGGAAACAATAAATTCAACCTCACTACTGCACAAAAGTTACTGTGATGTCTTCCTCATGTCATCACATATCTCACACTCAAATTTTATGCTGATAGAAGATTAAGTTTTCGCAAACGCTAAGATTGGCTAGCTACGACGGAGGCCCTAACAAGCGTCCCCAACTCCTCCTCAGCCTTTTTGGACGAGCTTTTACTGACGCCCAAGATCTGTGCCTGAATGGTGTGTCTGAAATTATCTCGGCATACTCAGTCAGAAAGAAAGCAAACACATAACAAATATTATGGCCATTAGCAACCGTCAAATGCGCTTTGAATAATTTCGTTCGTTCAACACACCGCAGAATTCATGCCTGTCCAGTGCACTTCCAGCAAACGGTGCGACATTGTTCACACAAGTGCTCGACTTCTGCTTTCTTTTTTTGTATGTGCGAATGTACCTATATTATTGCAGGATAACTTTATGCGGATACGTGATGTTGAATATTAGTGGAAGGCAAGCGGGTGGGGACTTCACTTTGTGCAGTGCTGCGGGGCAGTACAGATAAGAGATGAGAAGTGTGTTCGAATGGAGCTTTTCAATGGCACGTCAGAGTTTTACTTCGCATACTCAGGCGTATTAAGAAAAACAGTAATTGCAAAAAGTTATATTTCGTCTATGGACGCACGAAAAAAAAAAAAAAAAAAAAAAAAAAAAACTTCCTGATTAGCAACATTAATGTAAAGGCGCGAGCTCGATGTATGCATACTTATTGGTTGCTACAGCTTGTTGATTCGTACACAAGCAAGATCCCTGAGCTTCGCAGCGTCGACATTCCCAGCACTGGCTCGTCCACATACATCGAACCGCTAACAAAAAGGCTCAAGTACAAAAATACAACAAGCATGCGTTAAGACAAGCTATACTTCTCGGGCTTGCGCTAAAGATTCGAGGTCTGGCCATTTAGGTTAGTTTAGAGACCACAAATGACGCTCTCGATACCAGAAAATATGAGATAACGGCCGTTTATGGTCCATGCTCTGTGTATCTCTTGTCGACGTGTCAATCGAAACCGAAACCATGCCACTCTCCTCCCTGGCTAACTAGTTCCCAGAGTGCAACGCGCGCCGTGTTGCATGCAGGAATTTATGGAAGTAGTCTATTGCGTTTAGTTCGGTTCTCGAGTATGGATGGAAGCCACTAATCATTTCTTCCTAACAAAAGCTGGCATATGTAGATTTTTCACTGAAAAAAGTTAACCTTGGGGGCTTTAGTCCCCCATCCTTAAAATCTGCCCATGATGCATGTGCCAAGAAAATGAGGGAGAAGAGTGGAAGAGAGCACGCAAGGACGTCAGGACACCTGAGCTCTGGTTAGAGGGATTGGTGGGTACACTTAAAGCTAGGTGCCTTTGTCTCCACTGCACTTGTCGAGGACGTTTCAATGCGAGAGTCAAACACTGGACGCCCGCGTTCTGCAGTTGAACGTGTTCAACGAGTGCAGCAGAAACAAAGGCTGCCTTTATCTCCACTGCACTCGTCAAACGCATTCGAATGTCAATGCGAAACGCTGGAAACCGACGTTCTGCATGTGCAGTACAGACAAAGGCAGTTAGCTTTAGGTCTACCCACTAATCGCTCCAATCGGAGCTCTGCGTTTTGACATTCCTGCACTCTCATCCCCTCCTCTCTCTCAATTTCTCGGCACATAGAGTTCTGGAAGTTTAACAACAGTGGCTAGTGAAAAATCCAACAGACATGACATTCACACAAAAAAAAAAAAGCAGCTTTCTTTGGGATTTTTTTTAAGGTGTTCTAAAATGCACTGAGAACTCCAAGTCGAGTTACTCCGTTCGGAGCTGAGGGAGTTGAGACTGAATGCACCATCACCACTACTGCAAGGGAGGTCACGTGGAAATATTGTGTCCCTGAACTGCTCCTGCCGCTTCAAAAACCTTAGAGTTGTCGGAGCTGCTCATCGGTTTCAAGTCGTACCCAAAACCAGCAATGCGTGTTGCTGTGGAGGGGGGAATAACTCATCAGCTGCCCAAAAACTATATGAGTAACTTATCCCATGAGTAGCGGGCCTTATAGCAAGCTCGTTTCAAATGCACTGGCATTATGCGAGTCATCTCATAGAGTGCACCGCACTCGCGGAGTGCCGCACAAAGAACCGGTCTCAAACTAAATTACCGAGTGCAGCCTGATGCTGTCACCATCTGCATTGTAGTAAGAGTGCAGACCTCAAACTGAAATTAGCGCTACGCTGTTCGACATGACGGGGAGGAATGCAATTGAGAGTTGCTGCAACGTGTAGTTTATATCTGTGATGACTTCAAACAGCACGGCTGTAAGAGATATTTACAGATGGCATTAGTTCCTGTAACCTGCTCAGTACAAAACAGCTGTAACTTTTTGTTAAACGATACACTGGAAAAAACTGCGCAAAAGCTTGATCAGAGCAAACGCAAGAAATTTGAAGGCTAGGCACGCCTTGCGGAACACAAGGATGCCCACACGACTCTTTCTCTGAAGCGTGCTCCTTCTGTACGAACAGCCCAAGTTAATTTTAGGGTTAGAATATTTTTTGCCAGTTTCACGCTGTTTTGGATGGGTGCGAGGCGGGCTCACTCTCGTCGTAAAGCGGTACTCGGTCTTGTTGACTGATATTGCCGTTTCGTTTGACACTGCGATGTGCAACACTCTCGAAGCTAGCTAGCTGTAGGGCACGTTTCATTCTTGATTATCGCCGCTTGTCCAGAAAGCTCTGACACTTTGTCGCTGCCAGATGACACTGTGCTCAACGTGCCGTTGCGCCCAACGGACACGCCACGTGACACACCTTCGGCACTGGATTGGCTCCGATGGCTCGCACCATTCAGAGTAAAGTGCGGTATTGCATTTTGCGCTCTAGTAACTCACCACTGCCGAGCTGCTACGCCAGAAGCACTCAGCAGACCCCACCAACTCACCTCTACGTTGACAGGGCGGTAGGAGCCATGTGGTTGGTGGGCCAAGCTTTTATTGCCTCATGTCCGACCTGCAGATCTGTATGAGAAAGGGGCATGATAAGTGATGCAAGACTGACAATCGGCTGGTTCACCGAGCATGTAGCCTCCAGTGCCCTGTCAGTTAAGGGGTGAATGAAGTCTAAAGTTGGTATATAACAGCCGTCTACTGTCCCACTCTCAGGCACGCCACCCATGACCAGTACAGTCGTTGATCTTTAAAGGGGTTATGACACGAAAATTAAACGGATAGACTATTCTTGAAATGGAATGCTCATAGGCTACTTAGTATATACACCAAGTTACGCAATTTTTAGAGCTCTGATAATTGCAATATTCAATTTACGAATTTTTATAATTTTCATTTGGCAACCAGGCAACACTGCTCAACTTAGTCACACCATGGTGTCCATAAACCACGTGACCATGAACACTCTCTCATTCTAGGCACCCCCATGATCGCCCAAGCTCTTCTCGTCGCGGTACGACGCTCAAACAGCTGGGTAAACTGAAAGCTATTCTCGCTCTCGCCCCCCGGCCGCTTGACCTTCCACCCTGCATGCGCCTGCGAGACATTCCCGGACGACGGTGACCACGGCGAACTCGTCGTCGCTGGAGCTCGGCGCCAGCGGGTCGCAGTCAAAATGAACAGCTTCCAACATCTCTTGATAGCAATCACTCTCATCGCTGCTTCGATCAATGTTGAACACTTTGACAAGGCGATCAATGCCGTAGACGTAAGCGTCACAGACCGTATGCTGGAAACGTGGAAGGTAAACGAGGAAGCTGAGGCTCGATACGCCAAGAGAGCCAAGTCTGTGAGTGCGTGCAAGTAGACACCACGCTGGAGGCTGGCTACGTCATCAGCCTCCAGGTCCGCCCGGATCTGAGGGGCCCGCATATAAATTGATTTATCCACGAAATTATGGCGCCTTTTTCAAAACAAATTTAGCAGGATTATAGGAACATACAATGGGTCCTAGCAGTATAGTTATGTAATATTTTATTTTTGGCGTTTCATAACCCCTTTAAGCAAGGTTAAGCAATGACTGCCTTGTGCCACCACACATGAAGGTGTCCACGGAACAAAGCCGCATTGGCCCTGCCATAACCCACACCTTGTCGAGGCAGAAAACTTTCGGGCCCTTTATTTCCTGTGTTGTACAATACCCCAAGAGGTACCTCTGTTAAAACGGGACTATTTTTACCCCCTCGGTCAGAAGCGAGGCCCCTTGCGGCCATTCAGCGCCGTCTACTCATTCATAGATGTTGCTCCTTTCGACAAAATGTCTGTGGCGACAGCTGGAGCTAGTGAAAAAGCGGACACCATAGCTCTTCCCAAAGCACCCTGTTCTTCCTCAAGAGCGGCTAGTTCATCCAGGAACAGTGCAATGGTGCTTGGTGGTCTATGATCGCAGACCACCGGTCATAGCCGCACCAACGGCGGCGGCGGCGCCGCCGCCCCCCCCCCCCCTACTGACGTCACTCAGGTGACAAGCATTTCACTCGCATGACGTGACTCCAAGCCATACTCACTATGGCTGGCGACAACGCATAAAAGGCATGCGCTGGCCCTTTGACCCATGCGGAGTGCAGTGCAGGAGGTGGAACGGCATCGGTGACCCAGTCGCTGCAGTTACCCAGAACTGTTTTACTGCTGTCTCGGCGAAGATGCAGGCCCGCTGTTTGATGCACGTAGGTAGAAGCCATCAGCCGCAAGCATCAGACACCTGGGGTGGAAAATTTTGCACCCAACAAAACAATAACCATGAGAAGAGTGGTTTAGCCGGGGAATTGCAAAAACATAAAAAGCAGGCACATAAAGAAGTATTTCTGTTACCTTGTCTTGCAAAAACACAAAAAGCAGGCACATATAGAAGTATTTCTGTTACCTCGTCTCATGCTCAAGCATTATTTTGGATAGTATACATCAATAATGCCTGTCTCGCAGTGGCTTTCTGAACAAAATGTAGTAGAAAATACAACCAGTTGAATACCAAAGGAGAAATAGAACAAAGAGGCACTTATTTGTTGTCACTTTAACGTGCACACTATGGAAGAGCACAACTCTTCGCCATTAAACTGTAGCAGAATCGCTTAGGAGTTCTGCTGCAGGTGTGAATGTACCACGAGGCAGAATACAGTATTTGTGCAGGAAACACCATCGCAGGCCTACCAGGACGAACAGCAACATATTTCCCCGCCACAAATTCAACGCGCCGGGAGGGCCATTCGCGAAGCCTGATCTGTTTGTAAATCCCGTCTTTCGACAGAACGCTTTTGTGACTGCACGAGCTCGTCAAAAGCTGACATTCCCAACATGCAAATGCGGCGCAGGCGGCACTTGGGAGCCACATGCCACTCCCGTTGATTATCTCTATTATCTTCTTCTTTGTCCCGACGCTACGTGAGGTAGCCAAGGGCTATCAAATTCCACCACAGCGGTGTTGAATCGACGATCGAACGCCACCAGTAGGTAAATTCCACTCACCTTTTACTTTCCGAACAAGCGTCCCACGGGCCTCCATGTGGCGAGACGGGGCCTGCTGGCTTGCATGAATGCGCTGAATGCGCTGTGGACTTCACTGCCGACGCTCGTTCCCAAGCATTGAATATCACGACCAACTCCACTCGGCAATACCGCGGCACATAACACGACAATGTATAATACAAGAAAGACCGCTGGAACCACTGATATGGAACCAACGCGACCGCTCCGAAAAGCGCTCAACAAACGCTTGGAGGAACGAAAAGTAAAAACAAAAAGTAAAATTGGAAGAAGCAAAAACAAACAAAACAAAAATTTTCGTCACTTCCTGTTTGTGCTGTTTTGCTTGTTTTTGCTTTTTCTCTCAGCCAATAGGCGTTGCAACCTTACTGCGGCGAAACGCTCGTCTCGCGCGGCGCGGAACTAGAGTAGCGAAACCACGCGGAACTGTGTCGACGTTTTCGACGTTATGGAAACCGCAGGAACTGCGTCCAAGACAGGCAGGTTTTGCTGCCGGCTGCCTGGGTGCCTTCCGTCCCGAGTTCGGTTCTGTTTTCCGATGCCGAGTGCAACCGGCGTTCGACGTGGTTCTGTATTTGTGCGTGTCAGCAACATAGCTGCAACATCGTGATGGCAGTGTTGTGGGTTGTGAACAGAAGACTGGAATTATCGCCGATGTGACCGTGTGTTCGCGTATCAGTGGTGTAACTAGATGAGATCGTAAACTGTCGGGCATTGCATGATGCCGTTGGTCGGGCCGTGATCGGAGGGGGCGGGGTGTCGCAGGTTGACATTCCGCTTTACATTAAAAGGTTTAATACCACTTGAGGGATTACGTGCAATCGATCAACGTGCAGATGGTCATGTTGGAGTGCTGGTCTGAACTGTTGAAGCTCCTATCGCTATCGTACAGTTGTCAATGTCACTGTGGGAATTGTCTCGACCCCGAGAGCGATTGCGCTCTGGGGCAAGGACTGACCAGTACGAAATCGTGACGGGAGGTACGTATATTTACAGTATGGAATTTCGGCATTAAAAAAATATAGTAAATAAAATCGAAAAAAAGAAAGCTACCCTTTATTTTGCTGTTTAAATGTACTACGGTTCCTGGAGAAACTGCCCTCCAAGTGGCGCGCTGGGATGAGCGCTAGAAGTTTTCGGGCTCGCCACGGCGTAGCTCCGTACACTTAACACCTGCCGGAAGTCGCGGCTTTGACTGCATTCAAGTTGATCGAAAAGCGATTTCTTAGCCCGTGAAGTATCACTTCCAGCTGAGTGAATATCACCTCTACAGAGATTAATTCAAGACGGCAACTGCAGCTTTGCGCGAACATCACAAATAGAAAAACCTGTAGAAATACAGGCTACGGCGTGCCGTGTGGGGAAACAAACTCATGGCTTCGAACCGCGTTGGAGCGGCTTGATTTATTGGCTTTCAAATAATTACGCCATGATCGAGCGTTTACTTTTTAATAAGAGATTAATTCCCTGAGCCATTCAAAATACTCTCAGAGGTATGAGATTGCTGGGAAAAAATTCACATACTGGGAATATTTTTTATTGCTTAGGGAGTCACCGAAAAGTTCCGTACAATCAAAACGACCAGTATAAAAGACGGAAACGCAGAGCACGGGTCTAGTGTTGGGGTTAGTGTGTTGTTCCGTTGTATCGACCTTTGTGTGTGCCGTGTATGTTCTCCATGTATGTTCGCCTGATGCTTGTAATGTGTGTATACTGTGCATAGTAGAGGATCCCCAAGCGCAGTAGTAGCCTAAGAAGATGAAATTATTTTTTGTAGAACATGAATTGGGCGGTACCTAGCGCCACCTAGCCTAGCTACTTGCAATTACTTTGCTTGACCCCGCCATCTGGTGGCTAGCGATTTAACTTTTCACGCCACTCGATAAACAGCGGCTTCGAGTTTGTTCTTTCGAGAGCGGCTTTTGGTTTCGCGGATTGAGTTTGCCCTTCTCCGTGATGTGCAGTTGGCGAAGGAATTGTGACTCGAGGGACACCAAATGTAAGACGCAAAGTGCGCGAAGTAACTGGGTATCGGTTGTCTCCGTTTAACATCGCAGTGCTGTCGACGAGAAGACTGAGTAACTGCTTTCGAAACGCAAGTTTCTGTACCTGTGGGGGGAATCTGGCTTCGGAAATAAACACAGTTTGCGGAAAGCTCGTGTTACGCTTTTATTTGCTGCTGCTCTAGTCCCGTACAAGAGACGTAGCGTCCTCGTCAAGCCTTATTGGGCTCGATTTGCTCGATTCGGGGCCGCCATATTGAGATGCAAGC